GTGTCGCTCGTCTCTCTTTCTCTCTCTCTCTCTCTCTCTCTCTCTCTCTCTCTCTCTCTCTCTTTCGTTAACGGTGATTTTTGGTGTGCCCAATTTTCCGCTGACCGATCTGATCAACCCGCATGTATACGCGGTGACGTCCCTACGCACTCGCACATTTACGCAGTTAAATATATACTTTGTTCTTCTTTAATAATACAAGTAGAGCGAAACTTGTCGCTCTACGTCTACGTTTCGCAAGAGCGCCGGCTCGGCATTTGGCAATAGACGTTGTTTTAAACCGCGACTTTTCGGTCATTCGGCCCACGTTCGTCCCATATCAAATCGCGCCGCGTTTCACGTCGAAGAGAGAGAGAAAGAAAGAAAGCCGTATGTGCGTGCTTTAATTACGCGCACACGAAATTTAATTAATACCGTTGCTCCGGAGGGCGGGGGAGGCGCGACGCACTCGCACGTTCGTCCGCATGCGATCGATGGATTGTCCTCGAACGGTCAAATCAGTTGCGAAACGAAGCTGCCGCGCCGTTGCCCGGTTAGCAGCCGCGCTCGGCGTGGTCTAAAAAAGAAAAAGGTAGGAGAGAGAAGGTCCACCATTTTCCGCGGCTATTCTCGAGTGTTATGCAACCGCCGACCGATGCATTTGGCCGGGCAGAGCTTTATGGCCGAAGCTCGCACGCGCAAAAATGTTTGTTTTAACTTTGGTGCCCGTCTACCCGTCGCCCCCTGCCTGCATCCCTTCCCTTCTCGCCCCTATTCAGCCCCCGGACGCAGCCTTGAATTATTCGGAATGCGAGAAAATCTGTAAAATTAGACCTTCCGCTTTTCCGTGCATCTCTGCCCGTCCCTCTGTCCCTCCGTTCCTCCTCCCTTTCTCTCTCTCTCTCTCTCTCTCTCTCTCTTCTATCGCTGTGGAAAAGTTGGCCGAAAGACGCGAGCGGACTTTTCTAGCGTTACCGTAAATGCGCATCGATCTCGCCGACGGATTAATCGATGAGTCGAAATTAACCCGTGGGTATTCGCGTCACGAAACAGGCGTTGCTGCAAGTTAAAATAGCGCGTATACGTAATAAACGTAAATCCGTACTTTTATCGACTTTAACATTTCAGAGGAGTAAAAACGGAGTTAAATTTATTTATAGAAAGACAATTCGCACATAATCGTCGTCGCGTAATAGGAAAATTGCATTTGATCTGAGAATATAACGCTGCGTCGTCGTTGACTGAACGACCGGCAATTTCGAGAATTACGCATTTAGAAGTCGATTTCTTTTCTCGGACCAAAACACTGTACCGATGCTTTTAAGATATTTCCATTTGTAAGTCGCGGCATTAAACAACGAGTATCCCTCTTCGGCATGCTAATGGAAATCGTCTTAAAAAGTTGCCGCATGGCCCTGGGGATGCCACCTGCGAAATTTCGAAATCTTGCAACGCGTCTCGGTAGGCGTATTCCCACTGGAACGCCCAAAAGGAAACGAGAGAGCGAGAGAGAAAAAGAGAGAAAGAGTCGAGTAGCTCGCCCTTTCCATATTTTTCACCCTCCATTTTTACGCCATCTTTCGTCAGCAGCGGCCCACCCTCTCTGTATTTCCCCCGACCCTTTTCCACGCTCTTTCCCTTTTCTCTCTCACGCACGCCCTCTCTTTCTGTCTCTTTAAACTCCCCCTCTCGCTCTGCAACGTCCACCGTCCTTTTCCATTCGTTACATGGCTCTTCCATTGTTTTGATCAATAAAGCGCAATTGAAATGACTTTGTGGGACGGATACTCTTTTTTCATAACTGAATACAATCAAAAGGTACATTGTACGTATCAAACGGTAGCGGATCGATCAAACGTGAATGATTTTTAGTTTTTTGCGCCGGAAAGCTGGGCTTCAAGAGGCGATTTTCATTATTCAGCTCATGGACGATGGGCTTTCTGACTACTTAAATTTCAGTGGCTGAGAGATAAGAGAGACGAAACTTTTTCTCCTCTTAAAAAGAAAGAAAAAATCTAATTTCCGGCTCGCGATTGGACGATTCAATCTGTCGTAAGGGTAATGGAATCTGTAAAAGTAGTTTCTTTTCCCTCCTCCTCTTTTTAACAAATTGGGAGCTAAATTTTTTTTTCAACGTTTTGTCGCATAACAACCTTTTTTCAATAATTAGATTTTCCATTGATTTTATTTGCTTATTACATTTTGTAACAAAACAAACAGCCTGCCATTGCATTTTATCGAAAAATTCGTGAAGTATTAAATTTTTGCGGCTTTATGAACATTTTATATACAGTCGAGCCGGTTCTTCCATTTTGATTCATTTAATTGGCTAAATATTTTTTTAATCACGTTATCCGTATATGAATAGACGAAACATCGGATAAACTTTAACGCCGAGCGCGACTCGAATTAGCGCACCTTTTCATAGTAATAAATCTATTTTTATCGCGTGTATATATTTTCCTGTGAAATAGTATTAATCCATTGTTTTAATTGTCGAAAATAGCTATGTCCATCATCGGCAGGATACTATGAATTATTATTATCCTTTTCGCGCCATATTTTATAACTCGACGAAAATCATTTTACGTAGCGTACTTGAAACTTTGTCTGTACTGTTAATATGTATCGCGACACGAATTATTCACGAAACTTTTATATTCAACTGAGAAAAACTAATATCACGGTGTCTCAAAATATTGCTCGTCTGAATATCCATTCTTCTTTCATATCATCAAGACACTTATTTAAAGACAGACACTCTGTGTTGTTTCTAGCGCATTCGGAATAAGACGCGCCAAAAAATATCGTCTGAATATCCATTCTTCTTTCATATCATCAAGACACTTATTTAAAGCCAGACACTCCGTATTGTTTCTAGCGCATTCGGAATAAGACGCGCCAAAAAATATCGTTATTATTATTAAAATTGCGGTGGTAACGAGGGAAGACAGAAGCGGAGACCGAGCTTAAGGGAATCACTCGACCTTTTTTTTCCCCTGTCCCCGCTCATCATCTCGGAGCAGGCTCCGAGTATTCTTCTCGCGGTGTGCGAGGAGTAATTATTTTTCCGGCCCTCATTCTCATGGCAGGCTGGTCCCATTTTCCACCCTCCTCGCACCCTCGGTGCCGAGGATCCTCCTCGCGCTTTCGAGAAGAAAGAAAATGTAAGGGTGACTCGGGATAGCAGGAGCCGACCCTTACGTCGGGGACGAAGCGTCGTACCGCGAGTAATTCGAACGGGAGAAAAGAAATTAGCGAAATTAAACGTCAGGCCGTGCCTCGGCGGCTCGAAAGGATCGAAGGGCGGCACGACAAACCCTGCCCTCCCTGCCCACGTCCTTCCTTCGCGTCCACTTTCCATCGGGCACAGACTATTTGCGATTAATTATTCGAGCGGCGGCGAGAGAGGTACACGATGAGGTGAGAGCGACGAGAACGTGGTTGGAGCGAAAGAGAATGCGAGAAGTATTCGAAACCGCTCCGATAGCATGAAATCACGGGCATCAGGATACATCGCACTTGAGTAAAGGGTTACAGCTAAACGCGCGCGACCGGATTCGCACGATTGACATTACGTGTATGCGTGTGCGTTACATTCGTTCGACCATCATTTCGATTGAAAGGCGCGAGAGAGAAAGAGAGAGACCGATATTTCGACCCTTGCCAAAGAGAGATATTTCGACGTAATCAACGGGTACATCATCAGAGAGATGTACCCGCTGTTTAAATGGGGAAATTAAAACTTATCATTATTGGGAATTTCGCGAGCGCGTTAACGTCACACCGATGAACGTTCTACAGTTTCACTCGTAATTATGAGAGGGAACATTTTGTCCCGAGCCACTCCTCGCGATACATGAGAGTGTCCCTTTTTTTATGTAAGAGCGGATTAATAAAATTTAATGAAATTAATAAAATACAAATAAGATAAAATTCGTAAAATTCACGCCAACTCGAGGTGAACGTTAAGAACTGAATTAATCTCTCTCGCGCGCGCGCACGCAATCGTTTCACGATGTGGCAAAGTCGTGTGCACATCGGCACAGCTTGTAACAATCGATCCGATATTCGTTTGCGAGCAATTGCATGCAACGACAAAGCGCCGAAAAGCGATTCGTGAGTATTTTTAGTCGCGCGCGCACGTCGCGCATATAACTCATGTATTTGTTAAAACCTCCCCGGACAAAAGCAGCAGCACCTCGTAAATGGAATTAATCTGTCGATGCGTACCGTGCGTCCATTTAATATCCATCACGCGTTCATCACTGCAGAAGCGATCCAGCCGGTGCTCGCGCCCGCACGTTGCGAGGTTGCCCGCCTCCTCTCTCTTTTTCCCCTTTTGCCGCGGTTCGTCCTTCTTTCCCGCGGCGTCCGTCTCTCGCCATCGAGTTCGCGCGCGGGATTGAACTCGCCGAAACTTCTAATTTCGTGGAATCCGCGACGTTGACCGGCCGATGATGACAAATTTTGTGCGTAGCATCTTAATGCGCCGCGCGCCCGTCGAAAACTGACCCCGCAGCTGGCCGCCTTAAAAAAGGGGGGCAGAAGGGCCCTTCGTACGGGAGAGGGATGGCCCATCTCGCACGGGGTCCTCGCGAACGAGTGGGGGGTCAGAGAAGGGGCGAGTATCACGGTGTCCAGAATTCTTTCATTTTTTCGCGGGTCTCTTTCTCTCTTCCGTTCCCGCGCGAGCGTTATATTTCGTCTTCCCTCCCGACAGACGTATCTCGAGATGGGTTGAACCTGTTTAAGGGCTGTGTTTAAAGATCGAATCAAAGGGCGATGGAAGGGTCGGTGAATGTATCTCCTGGAAACGCTATTGTAATTGTAACATCATCGTTCTCATGCCGCTGATTCGCGTCGAGACTATTGTGGGACGAACTCGTTTATTTATACTTTTCAGCGGGAAAGGAAGCGCAAGGAGTTTTTCTCCTGGATTCTGTGTGGGAAACGGGCATAGGCGTATTCTGTTAGCTATTACAAGGGATTTTCGGTACAACGATTTTAATATTCTCAATGTAATACACACAATGTGAAGTAGTTATAATTACATACGTACAAGAAATATCTGTATTATAATTTCTGAAAGTGCGGGATTGACGAACGAAACAATTTATTGAGTCAAGCCAATAATTCGTTATTCGCTGAAACTGATACTGGAACTTTTCTCGCTATGCCGCAATTTTTCCCCGTGAAAAGCCTCGATTGACAAAGAAGAAGCGTTTGCGTGCGCGCGCGAAATGATATTTCCGGGACGCGGAATATTTTTTTTTCCAAACTCATCTCGCTTTTATTCCCGACACACAACGCACAATACATATTCCGCCAGATTATTTATTGACACACGTTCACTTCACCGTTCCCCGATACACTTTATTTGTCCTTTATTATTTATCGCAGTCGAAATTCTGCGCATTGTTTTCCAAAACACTGCAACTAATCACCACCACCATCACCACCCGGCCCTCTTCCTCCTCCTCCTCCTCCTCCGCATCCCAAAACCTCACACCAACCCTCCTGCTATTTCCTCGTACACCACCACCTTTGTCCCCCGTCCCCGTTCACCCTCTGGCACCTATTCGATCGATCGTTCCGCACGACCCTGCCACGGATTGTCTACGGTCGATCCTCGATACCTCGTCGGTTTTCGAGGTAGCTACGTCGACACTCTCGGCATGTTCGTCGAGGAAGCCGGGGCGGCAGAACAGCAGCAGTATCAGCGGCAGCAACAGCAACGATAGCCCGATAGCGACAGCAGTAGAATTCAAAGCGAATTTTCGGGGAGAAATGAAAAACGGGGGTTGCGGGCGACGTGAGATTTTCGACGTGCGAAAATCTCCCCGACGTCACTTTTTTCTCCCTTCTGCCACCGTCTTTCGGTTTTGTTAGTAGTTTTTTTGCGTCTAAAGCGTACCCGGCAGAACTTCTGCAAGCAAGGAATATTAATGTTTGTTAAGGTCGAGCATGAGAGAATTCAACGAAGCGAGACGCCGGCGATTCGAAGTCACTTTTTGCGAAACGTAGATTCGATCTGCGATAGAACGATAGTGCATGTTGATCGAAATACTATTCGAGCATGAAGCGCGTATATACAGAATATATTTCCATTATATCGCGTACTCTGTCGCATAACTCTTCAATTTAATCTATTGCACATCGTATAAATTTAAATAACCATAGTAATTGTAATTAATCGTAATAATTATTTTATTGTTGATTCGATAATTGATTTGTCTAATTCTTACATCTCGATAATTAAATTTGCATCTCTATCAGTTAAATTTGAATTGAAAATCACTTTTTATCACTACCGTTATTTATTCCAAATTACTTAATTCAAATGAAGCATATTGCGAAAAGATCACTTCGAGTTTCCGCATCATTTCTCGCGAGCGTCCCCTTCGTCGTCGGTATAGCGATAGCAGATGTATAAAGAGCGCCGTACGATTCATTCGATTCAGGCGTATGCGAAAGCTTTCCCTACCTTCGCAGAAACAGTAGTCGAAATTCCGCAAGGCCACCGTTCAACACTCCCTCGTAATCGTCATAATCGTCATCGTCATCGTTGTCGTCGTCGTCGTCGTCGTCGTCGTTCTCTTCGCCGTCCTCGTCGTCCTCATCGGCATCCTCTTCCACTCGGCGCAGCCTGTTCTTCCAGTTCATCCGACGCCGTGTCTCGCGCCTCCTCTTCTCGCGCGTCACCCACTTTTCCCCTCGGCTTCGATTTCCGCGTCTCACCGTGCACCGATCTCGCGCATCGCGATCACTCTCACGATCGATCGAGTCCCGTCTCGCGCGCGTGTGTTCCTCTCCGGTGGATTCGCGGGTGAATCGCGATCGACGCGTGGCGCGGATCGGTCCTCCAAAATTCGATTTCGTGTGTTTTCCTTTGTTGTATCGTATCGTCGCGAAAACACCGATTTGTCGGTCGCGGCCTGCCGCACGACACCGCGCCGAAGACGACACTACCGCGAGATCGCGCGCGAAATCCCAGCTTCTCCGCGCCGTGGACGCGAATCGGTTTTTTGCAAATGCCGTGTGCTTGTGCCGGCGAAGATCAGGACTATCGGTGGTAACGAGCGTGATAGCGATCGTGCGAGTTTCCCGAGGCTCTCCAGCGATCTTTTTCCGTCTCTCCGTGCTATTCACTCTCGCACCGGGCCTATTGATCTCTCCGTGTGGATCCGTCCTTTCGTCGCGGAACCGTTTCTCCCTCTATCGATCCACAAAGAGATCCAATTAGATCATTCGCCGCTTTTGCTCCGGACGCGGGGCGAGATCGTCGATTCTTTATTCGCGCATCGTTACCCGTCTTGGAAGAATTGGATAAGCGCGACGGCGCAATTGCGGCGCGTCGGCGATTCGCAACGCCAACCGGATGCGGATTATCGGAGACTCGGCGCATGCGAGTCGTCCCGGTGCGGTCTCGTTCTGGTTCGTGTCAGCTCTCGGTACACCCGTTACACACGTATCGAAGTCCCGGCATATATTCCCGCGATCCGAATTCGAAATTCGCGGCTCGGCAATCGATGATTAACGTGTCTTTCGATATCTCTCAGGATTTCGAGAATAAGAAACTTTTTTCTACGGAAGAAATCAATCTCCCTGACAACGCCGAATCCTTTTGGAAAATTCGATTTTCTCACTGAATCCGTGAATCGTATCCCCACCAGGATCCTCGCAAGGAGAGGAGGGACTTAACGGGTGTCTCGAACAACTCCGGCGACTCGCACGTGCGTATACGTGCGTACGAGCGTGCACGCGTGACGACCGGTATGATAATTCGCGTAGACGCACTCACACACTGCCACTACCAGAAGAGACGAATTCCGATAGAAAAGTATCCGAGCGGATGCGGGCCGGCTGGCCGGTGGTCCCTTCTTTCGGCGGCGGGCCCTTTCTTGCGGTTCTCGGCCGTGCGAGCTTTCGGTCGCGGATCTCCCGACGCGTCCGAGAGAGAGAAGCGGGCCTCCTCCTGTTGCGCGAAAGCGCGTCACTGAAATCGTCTATATATCTTGCAATCTTTATCACCGCGCGATCTCTCCTTCTGACCCACCTCCTCCACCCTCTCTCTCCCTTTGTCTCTCCTCGCTCTCTTTTTTTGTTCTCTCTCCTCTCCCTCCTTATCTCTCCGGGCTCCCTCTCCGGGCTGTCTCTCCCTTACGGCGATCGGTATCGCGCGCGCGCGCGACAGTATCAGTTGACGCACAGCTCGCGAGTTCTTTCGGGGACGCGCGCGGAACCGTACTCGCGGGTACCTCGACTTCGATATTTCTGCGATTTATTACGGCGCGACTTAGAAATGCATCTAATGCGGTGCACGCCGCATAGAATGCATGCATGCACCTTGGCGGGGAGGGCGAGAGCCGCGGAGAACCGAGAAGCAGCCGGAGCCGGAGTCGGCGGAGCCGAGCCGAGTCGAGTCGAGTCGAGTCGCGGCCCGCGGCGGTATCGGCGCATGCGCCACCGACAGACGCGAGCGTGTATACTCTACTCGCGCGATCTCTAGGCAAGCTGACGCGAGCTAGCGAGAGCGCGGGCGAGAGCAGATCGGCGGACAGGGGTACCTATACGGCTACGTCATTCACTGGCGTGGAGACCGGGGCATCAACCGTGCCTCCGAATCGGCCGGAGTAATAGTAAACTCAATGCTGCATGCCGGTTTTATCCCGAAAAACAAAGAAATTGTATGGAAGAAATAATGAAAATTTCAACTATTTTCTCGCGCCTCGTGAAAGGCCTTTGTAACCCTTTTAATAAACAAATGTTTGTTATTTTCAAGACGATGATTATATTAGGACATAATTAAAATTTTTCAGTCATTTCTATTCATTTTCACGTTGAAACGATTATTGTGCCCTTGATAAGACCCCCCGCGGGAGAATCAATGGCGTGCAAAAACCGTGAAACGGGTCAGCGGATTTCGCGTGTAAGCAGGAAGATTCCCCGCCTCGAGGAGGTCCAGCGCGTACGCGCGACTCGGCGCGATTAGCGATTACAGACGAAATACGGGAAACTCCCCCGCGGACCATTCGCCGAGGCCACCCACGTCAGTAATTCCGCGCGGCCTGTTAGCGCGCGATTTGGAAAAGCGCTAAAATATCCCGATGTATTCCGCGGGAGAGTTACTCGCCGTTAAATTCTTTCGCCCGGCGCTCTTCGTACGCTCTCGCCCGCGTACTCCGATGCGCCGATCCGCATACTCGCGAATACATACGTGTTCGTGTCACACGTGTGTACCGCGCGTGTGTATGCGTGCGTTACCGTGTGTTACCATGTCGGAGCATAGCCTATCCCGTAGCACTATAGCGACGGTATGGAGAGGGCTGCTCTCCGCGTTTCTCTTTCCGCCGTCTTTCCTCGGTCCTCGTCGCGGTGGGTGGAAGAGGAACAGGAGGAGGAGGAGGAGAAGAACGAGGAGGAGAGTGGTCGGGTGTATAGCCCCCCGCTAGGTACGACACTGCGCGATTTTTTGACGACCGATGAAAGTTACTCGCGAGATATTCTATTTTAAACTTTCGGCCAATAGCGACCGCCGCCACCGCCGTCGCCGTTGCGCGCCTCCGCAACCCGGCTTGCCTCACCTTCTGTCTCTCTTTCTTCCTCTTCTTCCATCTTTCTTCTCTCTGTCCTTCTGCCGTGCTCTCGCAAGAGACTTCCTACATCGCGATAATTCCTGAAAAGGAGGGAGCCATTTTGCGCGGTGCGGAGCGGCGGCGTGTCACGGACCTCCGCTTTGATTCTGCGTTGCGTCGACGCTGTGGGAGAAACAGAGAATGAGGACCCTTCGTCATTGCCGGAGGAAAACGCTACTGCAACAACGATGGTGCAACGGCCGAAACCGTTGTTTTTTCCGTTCGGCTGAATGATTTATCAGATCGGGATCGATCGGGTCGAGGGGGGAGTCGAAACCGCGCGACGCGGTTGCAAACCGACAAAACGGCGGGCTTCATTATTAACCTCCCCCTTCGTCCCCTGTGCCCCCCTCACGCTCCATCGCATTGTAATCGTTTGCGAACGTTTGATCGCGTTATAAAAAATCCAATACTTTTGTTCGCCACAAAATACAATTCGCGAGGTCCGATAACATTTTCGATAACCGCTTTTAATTGCGCTCTGTTGTTTGACGCCGCTATTGTTCCGCCTGCAACATTGCCCTATGTTAATCAACAGAAAAAGCCGGCGCGCGAAAATGTTTAGGCGCATTTCGGAGAATGACCAGTGCAGCTCGTTACATGGTGCGAGGTGCCACGCTCCCTTCGCCTCCTCCTCCTCCTTCTCCTCTTGCTCGTCCGCCCCGTCCTCCTCTTCCGCGATCGATCGTGAGCGTTGCATTCGCGTTGGTGATCTCGAGAGTGCAGGGGAAACGAAACTGTCTCACTGCATCGTGTGAAATTCGCTGTTAACCCGTTCGTCACTCCGAACTAAAACCGGCTTATGGTGAGTCGCGTTACTTTATCGTGTTACTTTATCGCATTTATAAAATTATTTTTCAGGGAGCTAACTCAAAATAACAAAAAGTAGAAAAGATTTTATGCACTACTTCTCTATCACGTTTACTAATGAAAAAAAAGGCGAGAAAACGCAAAATGTTATAACAAATGTTAATCCTTGGACCGGGAATAAATCGATTTTTTAATACAATTTTTTAATCGATCAGAGCACCGTTTTTTTGTTTATTTAGTTTTATTGGTATGCGCGCCGTTTGTAACGCAGAAAATAATTACGGCGATAAATTAATTAAAGGGAACACGGAGCGAATTCCGCGCGCTGGCCGGGATCCGCTACGGCGTCCACGGAAAAAATATCAATCGATATCGTCCGCCGGCGAAAGGAACGCGCATTCGATATTCGCATATCCGATGCGAATTCCCGGCGGGCACAGCGGCGCGGAGGTTGCCGAAAAATAATTTTCAGCTGCCTCTCGCGCGCGCGGGATAGGCGCGCACACGCACTCGCGCGGATGATCCGTTGCGTCGGGGTCCCGCGGTGCCTTTTTCTTTTTTCATCGCCCACCCCCGCCATCGCCCCGTCGTTCCCCCGGGCCACTCTCAACGGCCTCCCCCGTTGATCCCCGCACCATCCCCGTTACCGCCACCGTGTACCGTCCAGTCGCACCACCCCGCGGGATGCGCGGCGCGGCGCGCCGCGCCGGCCGCTTTTGTTTTCCTCTATTTTCCGGTTTTTCCGGGTGGGCCGCGCCGGACACACGGCGATGCCAGTAAAAGCGGCGGCGACGGTGGTGTGTGGCGCAACAAGTAGCAGATTATAAAAATCACTCGACGGCTCGGGGGCGTGCTGAGGAAAAAAAAGGAGGTACGGGGGAAAAAAAGCGTGGAGCGACGCGCGGAGGCACGCCGTTGGAGAAAGCGGGATGGCGCGAGCGAGGGCGAGAGCGGTTGGAAGCGAGATCGCGGGATCGTGAGAGCGACGAGAGTGAGCATCGCGAGTGGGAACGAGAGGGACGAAGGACTGGTGCGGAACGCGGAGGGCGCAGGAGGTGGGGCACAGAGGGGGGTACACGGCGAGTGAAAGAGGTCCGGTCGGAAGAGGGAGAGCGAGAGGGTGAGCGCGCGAGAGAGATGCCGGGCGTAGGTACACATTTATCTATACATATGTATGTTCCACCCGCCGCGTTCTCCGCTGCCTTCTCTACCCTCCCCCCGACTCCGCTACTGCTCTCCCCTCCGATCTCTACCTCGCTCTTTACCTAGCCGAGCTGTAGCGCTCCATCGCTCTCTCCTTGCCGTCCTCTTCTCTCTCTTCGCTTTCTCGTTCGCTCACTCGCTTGCTCGCTCTTTCTCTCTTCTCCGCTTATACTTCGGCTTTCGATCTCTCGCGCTCTTTCCGCCCGCGTATAAGCCGTGCGTGGCTATTTACATTAAACGCCGGTCCGTTTCCCTCCGCTGTTTCGCGGGAACACGCGCGAGTGCTAGTGGTTTGGGGGCGGCGACCATGGGGGGCGGGGGAGGGTGAGAAGGGGCTTCTCTCTTTCTCGCGCGATTCTCGCTGCGTGCGTCGAGGGGAAAATCGTCCGAAAATACTCGAACGCGAGAGGCGGCGTCGTTTCGGACGCTGTACTCGCATGTGTACAAGCGCGAACTTCCGCGGAAAAAGAAGGACCTTCTCTTCATCGGACACGCTGCGTCTCTCCCGTCTTCGTGTCTCGGTTTTCGCGGAGGCGATCGCGTCCGCGCCAACGCCGAGTACTCGCGGCGAGTGCTCGTTTGAAGGGTCCTCGACGAATTCTCGCGCGAGAAGCGCGAGGGCGTCGAAACGATCGCGCCGCGATGGCAGCGGGCGTTCGAACCCGTCATTATCGTCGGACGAGTTCGCCGTGACGTGACGCACGCTTCGGAGGCTGCCGCGCGGCCGTTCAATTAAATACGCTTTTAATTGTTTAAATATTCCCCTCGCGACGAGTCCGGGAGCGCGAGTCGGCGTCTCGTATTTTATTGTCGCATCATTCTTTACGAGCGCGCGGGCTAAACGGAAGTGCACCCCGCCTCCGGCGAGAGCGAGTCGCATGCCGCCGTCGAGGGAGCTTTCGGATCACACTTTCGGGCTTGCGAATTGACCGCGGCGGTTTAAGATCTGCGAGATCTCTCCGCGAGAATTCCGGCAGATCCTGTCTCTTTCGTAAGAATCGCGCCACGTGAGAATTTATCGACGTGCGCGTGGCCGGAGCGCAAAGCTTTGTCCGTAACGCGACGCGTCGCATCGATGCATTCGCCATGCACCGACGGCGGACTTTATACGCGCTGGCCCTCGTCCTTTCCGATCTCCAGTTGATCGATTTTCCGCGGGGTCGACGACCCCCGCGCTCGTTCTCTCGAACCCCTCGTCGCGTTCGCATACCGCGCGTTCGGCGCGCGAAGAAGAAAGGAAAGGCACACTTTCGGCGATGACCGCCGAATATTCGCTGGACACACGGCCGGCCATATTTATCGACTAGGACGCACTAGGACGCGCGCTAGATGAAACTATATATTTACTAGGAAACGCGATCAATACTCACAATTCTGATGGGACTGAACATTATCTCGCCGCGCTCGTATGCCCCGTCCGGTTATTTCCGCGTTCCGTTAAATCGCCCGCGGTCGAACGCGCTCGAT